AACTTGCTCCAAGAATTGGAGAGAGCTCGCCATAATGAAGAGCAATTCGCCTTTGCAATTGAGATTGGGCAAAGTTAATAAGCTCATATCTTTGGCGTAGAAGCCTTATCCAAAGAGACTCAGTTTGGTTAACCAGAGCAAACCCCATCTTGAAAAGGAAAGCCTTTTCTATTTTCTAGTTTAATTATTAGTATATGATTTGTAGAACAATTATTAGTTATGGTTTAAAACTTTATTTTTTTTATTTAAATTCGTTTTAAGTTAGGGTTGGGTCATTATTTGTAAAATAAAAAATAGTTAAATAATTATTTTGCAAAAATTCATATTGTATAAAAATTATATGAAGTAAGGCTTGATTCTTTAAAAATAAAAAGTATAAAGTATAAAAATATAAAAACGAAAAAAATGAAATTTTGCATTGAAAGTACAATAATTATTAAACTCTGCTATTTTTCGTTAATAGAATAATTTTATTAAAAGAAGAAGTTTGAGGATCAAAAGAAATTAAAAGAACTTAAGGATTGAAATGATTTTCTTAAAAAAAGGCTTATTATAAAATAAGTGTCTAAACTATATCGTTTTTCTCAAAGTGGTGTCCAAACTTTTTTGGTCAATCGAGATGCCTAACATTATAAATATTATCATTTTAAGTGCTTAGACTGTAACGGCTGTTAAAGGACATGTGTTGTCTTTATGAAATTTTAAATTTTTTATTTAAATAAAAAAATTTAAAATTATATTATTTTAAAGAAAAAAACTCAAAATTTTATAAAACTACAAAAAACCCAAAAACTATTAAAACCCTAATTTCAATCTTTTGTCACATATGACGGTCACCACCGTTGTCAATCGTCAGACCACCCAACGGCGTGTGACCGACTAACCACCAAAACATCTTGTTTTCACAACCGGTCGAGCATCCTACTGGTTGCGATTTAGGTTCATCATGGTAGTTGTTCGTATCGATTTAAAGGTACTTCGGCTGCTGTTATGGTGATTTTTTGTCAGGTTACTGATCGTCGGTCAAGGCACAACCAGTTGGAGGTCCGATAGACAGAAACAAAGGCAGCGGGAGGCAGCGGGTGTGGGTATAGGGATTAGATATAGGGTTTTTAAAGTTTGGGGGAGGTTTTTAAGATTTTTGAAAATTTTGGATTTTTTAAATATAATTTTAAGTTTTTTTATCTTAATTTTTTTTCTTCAAAATTACTAGAACGTGACACTTTTCACTTAACGTAGTTTTTTAACAGTCGTTACAGCCGGACACCTAAAGTGATAACATTTGTAACGTTAAACACATGGATTGACCGAAAAATTTAGACATCGCTTTGAGAAAAAATGTATAGTTTGAACACTGACTTTTATATTAAGCCAAAAAAATCGCTTTGAGAAAAAATGTATAATTTGAACACCGACTTTTATATTAAGCCAAAAAAAATCAACAAAAATGGAATTATACCGTAATATAAAGTATTTGACCATGTAAAATTAACAAGCATGTGATTTGCTCGGCCGATAATGTATTTATATCATATAGATTTTTGGCGTTGTATTTGTTTTTCCATTTCCAAATTTTTCAGTAATTAAATACGTAGGTATAGTAGGTGAATGTGCATGATTGATTTTAATATGGGATATATTTTATTTTTAAAACAAATACGTATGGAGAAGAGGGACTTTGATGAAATTATAATTATTATTACTATTAAATGGAAATATACTTATATTCAAACATTGCGTATAATAAATTGAGTCAAATATAAATTGATTATCAAATGAACTAAGCATGTAATTTAACAATAAAAAAAATAGTATTTCAACTTTTCAATCTCTATCATTAAAATATAAATAAATAAAAACTATAGCTATATTCGATATATTAAAATGATTATAAACATAATCAATTATAATGGTTTCTCCAATTTATAACTAAAATAAATTAAAAAAATACGCATGCCTATATTTCAATTTGAGACATGAAAGTTCTCAAAACTTCATGATTAAGGGCAAAGTTAGTGAGGTAATGTAGGCAGGCCGATTAATTAGCCTAATAGGGTAATTTGTTTTTTATTTCGGGACCTACGACAAAAGTTATTGTGTAGCTGAAACTTGTCATGCGGGCGTGATGAGTTCCGTTGAATATAAATTTTTAATGGGTCATGGGATGTGGGTCATAGGGGCCGAATATATTTAATATATTTCATGAGACTCGTCACTCGAGCATGACGAGTCCTAATAAAAAACATTGTTATATTATGTGGGTACAATTGCTATATTGTTTTTTTAATTAGAGTATTTGTTATAGTATTCGTTGCAAATCATTTAAATTATACGATGATTTTTTAAAAATACTTAAATCATTCATCGCTTTCTAGAACATCACTAACTATTCATGTTATCGTATATGTATAAAGATTAAAAAAGATTTTCTGTGATCTATACGACTTTCAGAAGTCGTCGTATAATTCAAACAATTCTTAATGAGTATTGTAGCAAATACTCTTGTTAAAAAAACAATTTTCATACATATGGCTACTTTCTTTTCACAACATTATTAAAAAAAATTGCTCGCTACGTGTTAAAAATGTTTTATAAAAAAAAAGTATTTCTGACGTTTTTAACAATAATTACATATTAAGTATTGAATGTTATATGCTACTGATATTGAATGTGAGTTAAATCGAATAAATTTTAATTATTTTATTTAAATATATAAAAAATATAAAAATAAAAATATTATTATAATATTATGAAGTATTATTTAAAAAATGATATTTTAATAATTGTTCAATTAAATTTTAATAATTTACCAACTGAATTTACACTCGACTTAGTGAGGCCAAGTGAATGTGAATACTAACTTTTCTATTTTTTAAGTTAATGATCTCTTTAATATTATGTCGTGTCTATCATAGATTGATCTGAATATTTTTATAATTTTAAAAATAAATATGTATATTTATGCATATTTAAATACTAATGAAAAAATTAAAAATTAGTGAAATATTGAGAATTAATTTTGTTATGATATCTTAAATAAATGAATAAATATTTTTTCAAAAAATATCACATGTTAATTTTAAATATACATTGTAGATAAGATGAACCTAATTGGAAATCATATATTTATTATCCGTATTAATTTTTTGATATTATAATTATTTTTTAATATTATATATTTTATATAAATTTAAATTGTTTACGTATTTTTATTATTATTTTATGCCATTAAATAAATGAAATGACAGAATTTAAAGCAGTGAAAGGTAGGTCAGACAGAGCCAAGCTTCAATCTCATTATACTCATAACCACAAACTATTGGCTGTATTTCTTTTTAATTTTTTGATGTTGATGTTGAAATGTACGTCTTACATGCAAGTTTCCAATGATTAACCTTTTTATTAATTATTAACAATAATTTTAACTAAGGTATAATTTTTTTATTAAATTGACATCATGGGCACATCAAGTATTAATTTAGTTAAAAAAATAAAATATTTTTATAAAGAATCATTAATTTGTTTTTTAATCTTTTTATAGACATTTAGATAAAGTGACTAAAATTTATTTCTTAAATTTTGATCGCAAAACAAATAAATTCATATACAAAATCTTTGAGGTCCTCGATTCGAGCACCATGAATGTTAGAGGTATAAGTGTTTAATGTCAAATGATTGAGAATTATCTTTAAACATATATTACCTTGTACTTAGCCTAGATTAATAAAAAAATCATAATCACTACATCTATGATCAATTGTCGAATAATTTTCATAAATATTTTTTTACATAGAACTTTTTGGTTTATCATATTATGAGTGTGATAAAGTATAATATAATTTAGATTATATTTCTGTTAATTTTCAATTAAATATAAAAGTATTGACGTAGAAGTGATAATTCAAATATATTAAAGTTATGGTTTAACAAATTTAATTATACCAGGAAACTATCATCAGAAGAAATTTAACTATATTAGACCATTGATATTTTTTAATCTGAATATGTATCACGTCAATTATTTCAAAAACGATAAATTACTACAAAAATAAATAAACAACTTATCGAATAGACGATTATTGATCTTTTAGATATTATAAATCTATTATATTATTTTTAAAGAAAAGAAAGCGTGGAGAATTAGATAAATGAAATATTATCATATATTATTGCGATTAACAAGAAAATATTTTTAAATAAATCATTAATCCATTATGCCTTAACAACCTCCATTAAGATATCTCCGTTAGCTTAATCCTATATATTGAAATCTAAATTTCTAAAAAACTGTAAATTGAAGGATAAAGTTATATGTATATTTGATATAACTGATAAATTTTAATATTAATCTAATCGGATATTGTAAAAGTCTATTATAGGATGATATTTATAATTAAATTATTTTCATTCATAAAGTTATATATACATATAATAATTTTATTTTTTATAGTTTCTGGAATTGAATAAATGCGTCCACTGAGTGTATATGTGATATCAATAAATTAAAAAAATTGAATAAATATTAATTTATAATCATTCTAAACTATTAAAAAATACACGTTGATATGAGTGGATTTTTTTTTCAAAATATATTCCTTTTAGTTTAAAAAAATTTGAATTAATTTAAAAGAAAATTCAACCCCATGATTGACCTCAAATTCCAACAAAACGAAGAAAAATAACAAACAAAAGTCCTGGAAAATTGGTGAACCTTTTACGCTTTTTTTTAATGATTTCTTTTAAGGTTTACACAAATTTTGTGGGTCAATTATGTTTCAACGAGAGCACTAATATTGCAAATTGATTGCGTGACGTTCAACCACTGTGATTAAGCCACGTGGAGCAGAGTATATCCTGACATGTTCTTGACTGACAAATGCATGATATGAGTGAATCATGAATGACTGTGCAGCTCTTTGATTCACTAAAACAACGTCTTTGGATCCTTTATTTCACTCCATCAGATATTTATTCAACTTTTTTAGGTTTTTGATTTTTAGTCTCTGCTGTTTCTCTTCTCCTCCACCTGAAACACGAGAAGTGCATACAATATTCCAAGGACAGTCTTCAATTATTTGTCTCTGGTTGTGGCGGCAGCGGCGGTGTAGTTTCTGTAAACCAAAGATCAATCTCCAAACCTGCCATGGCCACGACGACTAAAGGATTCGTTTTATATCTCCTGTCTGGGTTTTCAATATCCGTTCTCTCTGTTTTGTTCGTCAACAATTACAGCGCCGTCAACCGTCAACAATTGCAGTCCCCAGATTTATCCAACAATGATCGAGTTTGGCCTGTAAGTTTTTTTTTTCTTTTGTGTCGGGCATAATTTTTATTTGTATTAGAGTTTTAAAACGTTGTTTGATTTGAAAGGAATTAGAGTTGAACTGGAGGCTTGTACTGGCGACGGTGATTGGATTTCTAGGTTCGGCTTGTGGAACCGTGGGCGGCGTTGGAGGCGGCGGCATCTTCGTTCCCGTACTTACTTTGATTGTTGGATTTGATACCAAATCTGCCGCTGCTATTTCCAAATGTAAACTTCTTCCTTGCCTTGTTTTCTTTGTTGCCTCATCTACAATGGAACAGTTATTTTAAACACATCTTTTAAGGATTTCTATATAAACAAATCGAAGTGAACTTTGGGTTTGAGAAAAAGTTTGTTTTTTTAACACGATGTATGAATGGGTGTAGGCATGATCATGGGGGCATCGGCATCGTCAGTTTGGTATAATCTTAGAGTGCCACATCCGACAAAGGAAGTGCCGATCATCGACTACGATCTGGCTCTTCTTTTCCAACCTATGTTGATGCTTGGCATCACCGTTGGTGTGGCCTTGAGCGTCGTTTTTCCTTATTGGCTCATCACTGTGCTCATCATCGTACTCTTCATAGGTTTCTTCAGCACCCTTTTTCTCATTTTATTTATATTTGTGACGTGTCATCCTTATTTTGACATTGAAATGCTCTGTTTCTTTCTGGTTTTTTAGGTACCTCTTCCAGGTCTTTCTACAGGGGAATTGAAATGTGGAAGGAAGAAACTATTTTAAAGGTATTTTTTTCCTTCAATTATTTGATAATAGCAAAAAAAGGAATCACCATTTTAAGTTTTAATCACTTTCTTTTTCTTGTTTTAATTTGTTAAAAATGGCAGAATGAACTCACAAAGCCACATGGAACAGTTAATTCCAGGGGTGAACGTAAGATTCATAATAAATGATTTCCTTTATCCTGTCTTTAGGATATTTGAAAAGAATATTTACTTCATTTTTTTAACCTTAAATTCTTGAATTTCAGTACTGATAGATACCGAGTATGAGCCACTGATTCCGAAAGAGGAGAAATCCGAACTGGTTAGTGAATCAAGCTTTTTCGATGAACCTACTTTTCATTTTTTTTATACTATATGTAGGGATAGAAAAGATTTTATGTTAGTGGTGGTGTGAATTTAAGAAGTTATATTAAAAATTTAGGTGTGGAATTAGATAATAAATAAAAAAAGTACTCAAACTATATAAGAACTTAAAAATTTTCAAAGGGTGCCATTGTACTCCAATACCCCTCGATCCACCTCTAACTATATGTATCTGATGCTCACACGTATTGATACTTCTCCGAATTTTGCAGCAAATGCTATGTTCCAATCTAAGGTGGAAAAGGCTGTTGGTAATAGTTACAGTCTGGCTCCTTTTCACTGTTATCCAAGTCATCAAGGCAAGCTTAAAACTATCTCAGTTCATCAACAATTTGGGTGTGTTAAAAGTTTCAAAGTTTGGCAACCAACTTTGGAAAATGTTTTTTCAAAGTTTGGTAAATGTTTCTTTGGTAAATGTTTTTTTGAAAAATGTTTTTCAAAGTTTGGTAAAATTTTGGTAGATGTTTGTTGAAAATATGAATGGGTAAATTCACTTTAGTCATTGCACTTTAGGGTATTTTCAAAGATTAGTCCCTAAGTTTCTACTATAAATACCCTTACCCATTTAGCTTCAAAATCATCCCAAAACATTTATTTCTTCCTATACTAGAGAGCTTTCTTGTGAGTAGTGAGTGTTTTGTAAACACCTGTAAATTTTCTCTCTTAGTAAAAGATCTGCAGCAGCCCGGAGACGTAAGCACAATTGGCTGAACTCCGTTATCAATTTTCGGGAATTATTTTTCCGCTTTTATTTCGCATTCTCACTAATCTGGTTATAGAGAAATTACTTGTACTCGGTTTATTTTCCTAACAACTGGTAATCAGAGCTTTTGGTTGTGAATTTTGTCAAATTTTCTGCGAGGTTACTATTCATTACTATTCACGTGAATAGTGAATTTCGTGAATAGTGAAATTCGGTCGGCGATACGAGTTTGTCGACGGTGGTGTTCTAATACACGGTGATTCGCAAGAATTGTCAGAAACGATCCAAACGAAGCCAGATTCGAGTGGGAGCGATGGCTGCAGACGAAGGGAAGGTGAAAATTGAAAAGTTCGATGGTGCGGACTTTGGCTTTTGGAAGATGCATATTGAAGATTTTTTGTACCAGAAAAATCTATATCAACCTCTCTCAGGAAAGCAACCAGAGGGCATGAAGGATGAAGATTGGGCTCTTCTCGACAGACAAGCCCTCGGAGTTATCCGACTGACGTTATCCCGCAATGTTGCTTTTAACATAGCAAAGGAAAAGACCACGGCTGGTCTTATGGCGACTCTCTCCAGTATGTACGAGAAGCCATCGGCCTCAAACAAAGTTCATTTGATGAGGCGATTATTCAATTTGCGGATGGCGGAAGGGGCATCGGTGGCACAACACCTAAATGAACTCAACACAATCACAACCCAGTTGAGTTCAGTGGAAATTGAGTTCGATGATGAAGTTCGAGCTTTAATTCTCTTATCATCTCTACCAGACAGTTGGAATGCTACTGTTACAGCAGTCAGCAGTTCGTCGGGAAACAGCAAATTAAAATTCGACGATGTTCGGGATCTGGTATTGAGTGAAGAAATTCGACGAAGAGAATCGGGTGAAGCATCAACCTCCTCAGCCTTACACACGGAGTCTAGAGGGAGAACTTCAGAAAGAAATTCAAATCGTGGCAGATCAAAATCTAGAAGGGGCAAATCAAGAACTGGAAATAAAGATTTTACCTGTTATAATTGCGGCAAAAAGGGTCACTTCAAAAGAGATTGCCGAGCACCGAAGAAAAATATCGGCGCACAGGAATCTGCCAACATGACGGAGGAGACAGGTGATGCCATGATTTTAAGCGTCAACAGTCCGATTGAATCATGGATCTTGGATTCAGGGGCATCTTTCCACTCCACCCCATGCCGAGAAATCATGGAGAACTATGTCAGTGGTGATTTTGGGAAGGTTCATCTAGCTGATGATGAAACCTTGAAGATCGTCGGAAAAGGAGACATCCGACTAAAGCTTCCAAACCAGACCACCTGGAAGCTGACAGGAGTGAGACATATTCCTGGCCTCAAAAGAAATCTGATTTCTGTTGGGCAGCTTGATGGAGAAGGATATAGTACAACTTTTTCAGGCTGTGAATGGAAGATTACCAAAGGAGCACTCGTCATTGCTCGTGGTAAGAAGACCGGTACTCTCTATGTAACCTCAAATTTAGAGAATATCATTGCAGTAGCAGATGCTGATGGAAAATCAAACCTATGGCACCAAAGGCTCGGCCATATGAGCGAGAAAGGAATGAAGATACTTCTGTCAAAAGGGAAGCTGCCGGATCTAAAGAATGTAGATGTCGGACTATGCGAGGATTGCATCTTTGGAAAACAAAAGAAAGTCAGTTTTACAAAGATTGGCAAGACTCCCAAGGCAGAAAGGTTAGAATTGGTTCATACTGATGTATGGGGACCATCCCCTGTTCCATCTCTTGCAGGCTCACTATATTATGTCACCTTCATCGATGATTCAACAAGGAAGGTGTGGGTTTATTTTCTGAAGAAGAAATCAGAAGTCTTTGATACCTTCAGAAAATGGAAGGCCATGGTGGAAAATGAGACTGGTTTGAAAGTCAAGCGGTTGAGGTCTGACAATGGAGGAGAGTACAGAGACAGTAGTTTCAGAGATTTCTGCGCAAACAATGGAATCAAGATGGAGACAACAGTTCCCATAACACCGCAGCAGAATGGCGTAGCAGAGCGCATGAACAGAACTCTGAATGAACGTGCCAGAAGCATGAGGATACATGCCGGATTGCCCAAATTTCTATGGGCTGAAGCTATCAACACTGCAGCTTACCTGATCAACCGTGGGCCCTCAGTTCCTTTGGATGGCGGAATACCAGAGGAAGCTTGGAGCAAGAAAGAAATAAACCTTTCACACTTAAGAGTGTTTGGTTGTATTTCTTATGTACACATAAACTCTGCTGAAAGAAGTAAACTTGATGCAAAGTCCAACAAATGAATGCGTCTTTGTTGGTTACGGTGGTGATGAGTTCGGTTACCGGTTTTGGGACTACGAAAATCGAAAGATCATCAGAAGCAGAGACGTCATTTTCAATGAAAATGTGATGTACAAAGATAGGTCAACCGCAGAATCAAGTAATACCGAAGCTGAAACAAAGGAATTTGCTGAGTTCGAGGATATTTCTGGAAATGATGTTTAGATCAATCCTGAAGCAGTTCAAGAAGAACCACACACACCAGAACTGAGACGCTCCTCCAGAATTCCTAAACCAACCCAACGGTATTCGCCTTCTTTACACTATTTGTTGCTGACTGACAATGGTGAACCAGAGTGCTATGATGAAGCAATGCAGGTGGAGGATTCAGTCAAGTGGGAGTCTTCCATGAAAGATGAGATGGACTCACTAATGTCAAATCAGACGTGGGAATTAGCTGAATTACCACCAGGCAAGAAAGCGCTCCATAACAAGTGGATTTACAGGATCAAAGAAGAGCATGATGGGAAAAAACGCTACAAAGCAAGATTGGTTGTCAAAGGTTTTCAGCAAAAAAAAGGTATTGACTACAATGAAATTTTCTCTCCAGTCGTAAAACTGTCTACAATCAGACTGGTGTTGAAAATTGTAGCTGCGGAGAATTTACATCTCGAGCAGTTAGATGTAAAGACAGCTTTCCTTCATGATGATTTGGAGGAAGAGATCTATATGAGGCAGCCAGAAGGCTTCATAGAGGCAGGCAAGAAAAACCTGGTATGCAGGTTGAAGAAGAGCTTGTATGGTTTAAAACAAGCTCCTAGACAGTGGTACAAGAAGTTCGATAGTTTCATGAGTAGCAGTGGTTTTACCAGATGCCAAGCAGATCATTGTTGCTACATCAAGAGGTTCGACAATAGTTTCATTATTTTATTGTTGTACGTTGATGACATGCTCGTTGCAGGCTCAAACATGCAAGAGATCATAAACTTGAAGCAAAAATTGTCGAAGCAGTTTGCTATGAAGGATTTGGGCGCTGCAAAGCAGATTCTTGGGATGAGGATCAAGAGAGACACAAAGTCAGGGACTTTGATGTTATCGCAGGCTGAGTACATCAACAAAGTACTCTCCAGGTTCAACATGCAAGATGCTAAACCAGTAAGTACACCTTTAGGTGTTCATTTCAGACTCTCCAAAGACCAATCACCAAAGACGGAGGAAGAACGTGCACACATGGTGAAGGTGCCGTATGCCTCAGCAATTGGAAGTCTGATGTATGTCATGGTTTGTACCAGACCAGATATTGCTCATGCAGTGGGAGTTGTTAGCAGGTACATGAATAATCCGGGCAAGGTACACTGGGAAGCAGTCAAATGGATCCTCAGATATCTTCGGGGTACCACAAACAAAGCACTTTGTTTCAAAGGTGGAGATATGATACTGACAGGCTATGTAGATGCTGACTTAGTCGGAAATGTCGACATCAGAAGGAGCACTACAGGGTATGTCTATACTCTAGGAGGAACTGCAGTGAGTTGGGTTTCTCAACTACAGAAGATAGTTGCTCTCTCCACAACTGAAGCAGAATATGTCGCTGTTACGGAAGCCAGCAAGGAGATGGTTTGGCTCCAAAGTTTCTTGGAAGAGTTAGGCAAGAAACAAGAAAACAATATCTTGTATTGCGACAGTCAAAGTGCTATCCATCTAGCAAAGAATCCGTCTTTTCATTCCAGGACAAAGCACATACAATTGAGATATCATTTTATCCGGTCTCTTCTGGAAGATGGGATTTTGAAACTTGAAAAGATTAGTGAAGCTCAAAATCCGGCAGACATGTTGACAAAGACGGTGACTACGGACAAACTGAAGTTGTGTTCAGCTTCAGTTGGCATGCTAGAATAACAAGACCAGACATGCTGCTGCATTGATCGAGGTGTGAAGACATATTAAAATCAGTCTTCAAGTGGGAGATTGTTAAAAGTTTCAAAGTTTGGCAACCAACTTTGGAAAATGTTTTTTCAAAGTTTGGTAAATGTTTCTTTGAAAAATATTTTTCAAAGTTTGGTAAAATTTTGGTAGATGTTTGTTGAAAATAGGAATGGGTAAATTCACTTTAGTCATTGCACTTTAGGGTATTTTCAAAGATTAGTCCATAAGTTTCTACTATAAATACCCTTACCCATTTAGCTTCAAAATCATCCCAAAACATTTCTTTCTTCCTATACTAGAGAGCTTTCTTGTGAGTAGTGAGTGTTTTGTAAACACCTGTAAATTTTCTCTCTTAGTAAAAGATCTGCAGCAGCCCGGAGACGTAAGCACAATTGGCTGAACTCCGTTATCAATTTTCGGGTATTATTTTCCCGCTTTTATTTCGCATTCTCACTAATCTGGTTATAGGGAAATTACTTGTACTCGGTTTATTTTCCTAACAGGGTGATCATAATGTTCTTCATTCATGTTGGGAGTTTGTCTTTTTTGCAGAATGATGTGGTTCCTTGTAGCACTACGTATTGGGTGTTGTTCTGCTTACAGGTAAACCCTAAATTGATGAAAACATTGCAAAATTTGTCTTTGGTTCAAAGATTGAATTAATTTATGTTTATATTTCAGTTCCCAGTATCAGTATTGGTTTTTGGATACGAAGCAATCAAATTATGCAAAGATTACAAAAAGAGAACAAGCAGTGGGAACACTGAAACAATCTGTGAAGCTTCAATTCAATGGAGTCCATTGAACATCGCATTTTGTGCACTTTGTGGCTTCTTGGGAGGCACTGTTGGTGGATTGCTTGGTTCTGGTGGGGGGTTCATTTTGGGTCCTCTCCTCCTCGAAATTGGTGTGATTCCACAGGTAAGTTTGTAACCGTGGATTTCTTGAGTGGACAGTTTTATAACTGCAAAAGGAGACATTAACACTGACAGAACAAATAAAGAGTATTACCATCAAAACTAAAATCCGCCATGCTTATCAATTAACAGGTGGCTAGTGCAACAGCAACATTTGTAATGATGTTCTCTTCATCTTTATCCGTCGTTGAATTCTATTTACTCAAGAGGTTCCCAATCCCCTACGGTGAGCCATTGTTGTTACATTTTCTAGAATTATTTCGTAAATGCGATCGAAACTTTGACATTTATTTTCCAGCTCTGTACTTGATGGGAGTGTCAATCTTGGCTGGTTTCTGGGGACAATATTTCGTAAGAAAACTAATAGCAATCCTGAAAAGAGCCTCGCTTATAGTTTTCATTCTTTCTGGTGTGATCTTCGCAAGTGCACTCACAATGGGTACGTAAACTTATCATCAAGACTCGGTTGTTCATTTCTTTTCTTTTTCGATTAATAACTGATATCTGTGATGAAACAGGAGTCGTAGGCATTGAAAGAAGCGTTCGAATGACCCACAACCATGAATTCATGGGATTTTTAGATTTTTGCAGCAGTCAATGATCGTTGACTAAAATCTAAATGGAGATGTTGTTGGTCACCTGCTTGTTGACCAACCCCAATGTATTGGATTTCTCTTGTAAGAATAAGGGATTTACCTCAAATGTGTGTGGTGGAATGTGACTGTTAGCTCCTCGCTAACAACCCCATTCTTCATTTATGAAATTACCATCTATTCTACTTTCAGCAACAGATTTGAGTTTTTTTTAAAGTCATACCTAAAAGTTATGTTTAGTTTCATTTTAGTCACTCATTGTTAAAAAATTAATTGTGATGTTGATGTGTCATCATAAAATAATACTACATCGTTATGTTTACCACATTAACAGTCCTGTTTATTTTTTAACGACGGATAACCAAAATAAAATGTTAGATATAAATGTGAAAATAGAATAATCAAGTGACTAAAACATAATTAAAGTGATAATTGAATGATTAAATATGTAGTGTACTCATTATTTTTTGAGAAAATAATTTGTTCAATATCAAATTTAAGAAGAATTTAATATTTCTTTTTACTAAAGATGATATGAAATTTGAATGGATAATCTGACCCTGTGTAAGTCTAATTGAAGTTCTTTGACATAAAAAATATAAAATATATTAAAAATGAAAAAAAAAATTATGAAACGCAAATTTTTTGTTAAAGATGAAATGATTTTTTTTTCTCTCTCACCATTGTCTTTTTTGTTAAAGTATTATCGGAAACCCAAATTTATTTATCTTAATTATTCGAAAGGTCACACAATGAACAGACAAAGAAGGGTGATAAAATAAATAAATAAATAGCATACGGGTTGCCTCCAAATTAACTCTTAACCCTCACATGCTTATCAATAGGGAGAATCTACCTTTTTCTAGAACCACTTTGTTTTATTTTATTTTATCTTTATGTATAATATAATAAAAATATTATAACAGAAAATATTTTAAAAATATGTAAAATTTTAATGACTTTTAATTGAATGAAAATTTCAAGACTTTGTTTTTTTTCTTTTAGTTTTTAACTAAGTGGATGTGATTTGAATTTGATATAATAATTTGAATAATATATTTCCAACTAAATTATGATTAAATTTTTAATAAAATTAAAAAGATGAATTAAGTAAAGATACAGCTTTTATTTACTATTAGTTTAATAATGCTGCAAAGAATCGCGTGTTTGGTTTGGGCCGTCAACGGTCTTACCGACAGCTGTTTTATCACCGCTCACTTTTGCAGTGTTAGTGTTATTTATTTAACGCACATTAAGATGAACGAGAGAAACGATACAAACGCACACTTCTTTAGAAAAATAAAATAAAGTAATCTTTAAGTGTGTGTTTGATTCATAGAATGTAAGATTATCAGTTAGAATAAAATATTACCAGAGAATATTATGACTGAAAATGTTGTATTTTGTGTTTTATTGGTTTAGCAAGAATGTAAGATTACCGTGTTTGGTTAAAGGAATAAAAAATTATTGGAATATATATTTAATTAAATTGTTCTTATTATATATTTATTTTTTAACAAGTTGTAAAATATTTATATATTTTCTTTAAAAAATTTAAATTCATAAAATTTATATAATTTTTTTTTAAAAATTAAAAATATAAAAATGTTTAATAAAACGGTAAAATTTTATTTTAACCCCTGAACTTCATATAAAATTTTAATTATAGACTTTTTTTTTGTAAATCTAAAATAGTTTAAGGATAAATTTATAATTTAACATTCATAGAATTTTTATTATTCAATGATAGAATAAGGATATTTTTTAAAGAAAAAAAATTAAGGGCATTTTAGTCTAAAACGCCGGTAATCCAACATTACCTAAGGAAAAGAAGGTAATGACATTCCTGGTAATATACCCCCAAAAAATCCACTATTAGTAATGTAAGATTATCGAAAATGACATTCCCGACCAACCAAACGGAGGAATGTGGATTTTATTCCCATGAGAATCTCATATTCCCCCAACCAAACCCACCCTAAACGATGCGTTTGGTTCACAGAATGTAAGATTACCAGTAAGAATAAAAGATTACCAGGGAATAGGATTATTGGGAATGTTGTATTTTGTGGTTGGTTGGTTTAGCAGGAATGTAAGATTATTATGTTTGATTAAAGGAATAAAAGATTATTGGAATGTATATTTAATCAAATTGTCCTTATTATATATTTGTTTTTTTAACAAGTTGGAAAATATTTATATGTTTTCTTTAAAAAATTTAAATTCAAAAAATTTATATAATTTTTTTTACAAATTTGAATATATAAAAAAGTTTAATAAAAGGGTAAAATTTTATTTTAACCTCTGAACTTCATATAAAATTTTAATTGTAAACTTTTTTTTTTTGTAAATCTAAAATAGTTTAAGGATAAATTTGTAATTTAATCTTCGTAGAATTTTTATTATTCAATGACAGAATAAATATATTTTTTTAAAAAAAATTAAGAGCATTTTAGTTCAAAATGCCGGTAATCCAACAATACCCAAGGAAATGGAGGTAATGATATTCCTGTTAATATATCCCAAAAAATCTACTATTGGTAATGTAAGATTACCGTGAATGACATTTCAGGCCAACCAAACTGAAGAATGTGAATTCTATTCCCATGAGAATCTCACATTCCCCAAACCAAACACACTCTAAGGTTTTTTAACAAAGTCTTTGAATTTTTTTTAATTATATTGATCTTTGAATTTAAATTTTAAGTTATTTTTAGTCATTCTGATTATATGATACTTTAAGATTACATCACGTGATACAATTTCATATCTCACTTCACTAGATGGATTCAAATAAGAAAAATTTCAAGTTTTTAAACTAATATAGATCAAAATAAAATTCAAATATTAAATTAAAGTAAAAATTAAACGACGTAAAGAAATTACCGTTATTCCTTAAAGTCTCAAGTTTGAGCACTATGATATCAGAAGTGTGAATGTTCAAAATCAAATGGTTAAGAATTATTAAAAGAATACTTAATATAAAAAATATAAGTTCAAAATAAAAATTACTTTGTCTCTTTTTGTTTTAGGTGGTTAATTTTTTTTTATCAAAATAAATGTTTAAAGTTTCATTTTATTTTCACTCAAAGTTTTTTTATTAAAAATAAATATTTAAATTATGTTTCTTATCTAAATATTTAAATATAATGTCAAAGTTCACCACTAATGTTTGATAAAATAATCATTTTGATATTTATTTTTTAAGCACTTTGATCCCCCACCGTTTATGATATCTAAGTATTTTATTAAGTATTCATTTTAGGATAAAATGTTACTTAGTTAAATAAAAATGGTTAATTTACTAATTGTCAACACTAATCGTTAATAATGATGATGTGATATATACTGTATCAAATGTAATAATGTGATATATTCTACATAACTAAAATGATGATATAATATGTGTCATATGTTAAAGTAATGACGTGATATGTAATATTTAAAATAATTATCTTAATAGTCAAATAACTTATTTTGGTAAAAAAAATAAAGAAGCTACTTAAATAGAAAAAATACATTTTAAGATTTTTTTTAATTTAAGCCATTTATAAATAAAAGAAGGGGAAAGCATGAAAGTAATTTTACAAGTTGCAAGGGCATATTGGGAATGGAATGAACAAAAAGCTTTCAAAGTGATCGACTCTGTTTATAAGCTGTATAGAGTGAACATACAATACAAGGGAAGAAAAAAGCCTTAGTTATTCACTTTTTCCCTCCTCCATTAATGGAGGGAGGTTTATAAAAATCTATATTTTTCCTTCTCTGTTTCGAGGCTACTTTTTCTTTAAAGAAAATCTCTATTTTGTCTCCGGTTTCGGTTTGCCGGTTTCGAGAATGGAAGAAAAGAAAAGTACGATATCCGGGTCAGCACTTAACTCGGACTCTGACTCACCACCTGCACCAGTGAGTAGCCTGCAAGTGTTACCTCAGGTGATGAACGTCAACACGGGGTTGGAAAGAAGCATTGTTAGTTCAACAGCAGCGACGGCAATAACTACAACAACAGCGAGTCCAGTATCAGGTGTAGGGGGAACACTGAGTGATTCTTTAGGGAAGAAAAAGAGAGGGAGACCCAGAAAATATGATGCGGATGGGAACCTTAGGTTACCATATCAGGTGGTGACGGCTTCACCTCCTGGTTTCACTTTATCACATTCTTCCGCTACTGAGTTCAACTCGTCCAAGCGAGGTAAAGTACGGTCTTCTACTGGGAACTGGCAGCTTCTTGCTTCTCTAGGTAAAGTTCAACAAACTTGAGAGTTTCTTTTTCTTTTTCATATAAAACTCCGTTTGCTTCTCGAGAAAGCCACCGCAGAAAGTAGTTTCCAGCTTCTTCTTGCTTATTCTCTAGGTAAAGTTCATAAAAGTTAAAAGAGTTGTTTTATTTCTGTTTAGTTTCGGATAAAACTCTTGTTTGGTTCCCGAGAGAGTGCAGAGATTAAAAAAAAGAAAGAAAGAAGGGAAAATACGGGTTGCTTGCATTGCATGTCTCTTGTTATTTTCACTTGTTTTTTTTATGGGGTAAATAGTTCTTAGCTTACATAACAAGAATCATAAATATATTTAATTTGGTAAATCTCTAATGGAGCATAGAAATATAGCCTTAGAGACTTGCTTTATTTGTTTGTTTTTTTCTCTATTTCTCACCCAACTCATTGTGGGTAGTTGATTCATGCTTTCTCTGGGACTTGGAAGATTTAATTAATTAATAAATAAAATGCATATCAATGGACAGAATTGCTTGAATAATGGAATAAAAGAATATTTATATAAGGTGAAGTAACTTTATTTTTTTTTAAATTAAGATCTTTGTTACCGTATTCGATGAAAGCCATTAGAATTGCACAATAATTTTCTCATATAATCGAAGTAGAGTATCAAGTTTTAAGCCAAAAATCTTAATGTAGTCCTAACGACTTCTAAAAGTTATCGTGCAAATGTTTAGTTTAAAAAATAATTTTTATTGTAGGAGCAATTTTCCCTACTCTATTAACCAAATAAAATTTTGCCTATATCGGTTTCTTTAATTAAAACTTCAAAAAATCTAAAATCATGTGATATACTATTTTAATCACTTTGAGTGTATAAGCATCAAATATTGATTAAAATAAATGTAGTTTTTCACATTAATTACAACTTTGGCAAAAACGACAAGAATTTAAGGAGTAGTTTTAGGAGGTAGGTATTTTGCTTCTCATTTTTTCTAACCATTGGTATATTTGCTACAAATTTAAGTATGTATCTATAAGAAGGTATTCCTTTAAGTTTAAAATTAATTAATGCATTGATAACTTCATTCTCTCTTCCAACCAACAACATTTGGTCTAGTGGAATGATTTTTTTATTATTATTAATGGAATGAGACACTAGATCTCTTAAGTAAAGGTCGGGAGCTTGGATCATGACATTTGCGAATGGAGCAAATTAAATTAAGAGGATCATTTTTACCTCTACAATATTGATCTAAATTAGTTGATTAATAAATCAAAAACCGTTGGTTATTTTTTCTATGTTTGTCCATTGGTATATTTGCTACAAATTTAAGTATGTATCTATAAAAAGATATTCATTTAAGTTTAAAATTAATTAATGCATTGATAACTTCATTCGCCCTTTTAATCAATGATAAATTGATCTAGTAGGATGGAACACTGGATTCTTTAAATAAAGGTTAGGGGTTTGAATCCTAACGAATGAAGTAAATTGGATTAAGAAGGTTACCCTTGCATCTATAGTATCTAATTCGAATTAATCGATTAATAAAATTAGAAACAAGCGATTATAAAAAAAACTTCATTTACCCTTTCAATGAATTACCTAAAATCATTAATATTATATCTATTAACCATAATAATTAACCCTAGCAAAACGTATCCTAAGTTGGTCCATTTTTGTTGGCCAAAGTAATATTTGGTGAATTTTAGCGTTGCTTTTATTTTCATGAATAATTTCGTTCAATTAATGTGCATTGAAAGTAATATATGCAATATAGTTTGTTTTGATTAACTTTAATGTCACCGATTAGTAGGTCATTAAGTCATGTAATAAAAAGACAAATAATATATATATTTAAAAAACTGTATATATTAAAAGATATTAAACGTTCAATATCTTTTTATTCAATATATATATTAAATTTGGGCAGGTGAATTGTTTGCTAATACGGCTGGAGGGGACTTCACTGCTCATGTGGTCAAAGTTAATACCGGAGAGGTAAGTTCCCCAAATTTTAGCTAATTGAGGGTTTGTAATGATATTAATGTTAATTATTTGATTAGGATTTTCAAATAGAAACAAATATCAAAATTTAATTTTTAGTTTTTAAAGTATAATGATAAAATATGGAACTGTACGAAGTATAGGGATTAACAATATTTTATTATGAATTTTTGTAGATCCTCCTTTATAACGGGAGACATTAGTTTCTAATTTATTGAAATTGCAGGATGTTGCAGGGAAAATTCTTTCGTTATCACAAAAGGGTCCTCGTGGGATTTGTATTCTGTCCGCAAATGGAGCTGTTTCTAATGTTACCATCCGACAACCCGGTTCATCTGGTGGGATTTTAACATTCGAGGTTGGTTTTTCTAATTTTCGTTTGTCATTCTATTTTTTTTTGGGTACATACAAAAGTTTAGGCTAGGAGTGACTTCCCCAGTCCACATATTTAAGACCCAATTGGAATTTATATAGGAATTTACAGATAGTCTATCAAGAGTGACGATCGTAGGATTCGAATTTGACCTTACAATCTCAAATTCCTGAATCCCAACCACTTGTACAAACACTCATCGACAAATACAATAAACTCTTTTGAATTAAAATAATATAGATATCCGTTATAAAAACAAATACAATAAACTCTTTTGGTTTATTCAACAGTTTATTTTCTTTTAGTTTTTTTTTTAATATTTTCAGCATCACTGAAGTTGAAATTCGGAATTATTATACATTGCAGGGCCGGTTTGAGATATTGTCATTAACCGGCTCATTTACATTCAGTGACAATGGTGGTGCGAAGAATAGGACTGGTGGTCTAAGTGTTTCATTGGCTGGACCTGATGGTCGTGTAATAGGTGGTGGACTTGCTGGTACATTGTTGGCTGCTAGCCCTATACAAGTAAGTCCTTTGCTCTTTCTTATCCTATCCCCAACTCTTCATTTCATACAATTCCATTTTTCTTTTGATAGATTGTGGTGGGAAGCTTCATGCCAAATGGCTACAAAGTGCATAAAAAGAAGCCTTACCGCGAGCAGCACACGATGGTGGCTTCCACGGTTGCCGCCATCCCTTCAGCTACGGCAATGGCGGAAGAAGCACGGCCAATCATCTCACAAGCAAAACCCGACGGTGAAAACAATATGAAACGGACATCGCCATTTCAAGTGGTAACCCTCGGGGAAGCGAGTAATAACATAATTGACCATAAAAGCACAGCAGCCTCTATTGTTTCCGGTTGGAATAACGGCTCGGAACCGGTCTTGACCCATCGGCCATCGCCCGATATTAACATGTCAGTGCCTAGTGAAAAGGGTAATTAGTTCCCTTGAGAAAATTCTTCATTTGAGGTAGTTTTTTAAGTCATGCACTGACATGATAATTGAAACTGCAAACTATTTTTTTATTCACATTTTCGCTTGTGTTGTAACAATTAGATGTAGTAACTAGATGCTCAATTTTCTAGGATTTGTAATGGATGTTTCGATAGATGGAACTTAACTTCACTGAATTTAGACAGATTTATGATCAATTATTGTGTTTGGTAACATTTTAATTGTCGTTTGCTTGTTACATTCTCATTAGCAAATTGTAAAGGTGTATGTGTCACGAAGTTATACTCGAATTTAGCAAATTGCGTGACCCTAAATATTAAAACTTAAATCGAGTGTCCAAGTCAACCTTGTCGACGAGTAGAGACAAGAAAAAGAAAGAAAAGAAGCAAAGGGAAGAAGGCTTAATAGGGAAACAAATATTAGATTAGATTTGGATTAATTAAGTGGGAGTTTTTGAGTAACGTGTCACGTTAAATAAAACTAACGGGAAGTAATGTTGCGTGGGTAAACTATGAAAGAAAGAAATGAAGAAGAAGAACAAAAAAGAGCGTGGAGATAAAACTAACGGGATGTAACGTTGGGGTGGATAAACTATGAAAGAAATAAATGAAAGAAGAAGAAGAACAAAAAAGAGTGTGGAGAGGGAGGGGGAGGGGTTAACAGAGGTAGCGTGTCATGTCAGATAAAGCTAACGGGGTAACGTGAGAGACTTTAACTGAAAACGAATTAACAGTTCAGTGATTGTATTATAAGTTTTAAAAGTTGGGTGATCAAAATGTAAATGAGTTTAGAGACTATTTATATGTTTTACCCTATATTTTAATGTCCTTTCATTGTGTCATAGTTCGGTTGAATATCTAATCATGAGATTTAGGTTCAAACCATTACTATCCTAATAGTTCTACTCCATGGCCCATTATGTGGATTCGTAAGGCCATATGGATGATTCATTATTGGGTTTCAAATGGTTACTTTGGGGTAAGATCTTGTCAAAGTGGTGGAATGTAAAAGGGTATAATACTTGTCCCTCTTTAATCATGTGACAATAACGTAATTTAGAATGTGATATTGCTCAATTGAGAGTTATTTATTTATGAGATTGTCCATTTGTTTATGGAGTGAAAAGACTTCCATAGGTTTTAAGCTTTTTACTCTTATTTATCGAGTTAATTTAAATGATGGGAAGATGGTTTCTTTTCTTATTAATATAATGACAAAAAATGTTCATAATTATTTGATCATATAGTCATTTTGTTTGTTTTTTTAAGCATTGTGGCCCCCAACATCTTATTTCTGAGCAAAAAAATTCCTATGAAGATGAAAATCGTTAGTCAACAAACGACAAACGCTCTAAAATATGAGTCATTTTTCCCTAAAATGAAATGATGGGAGTCAAAATGCTCCAAAAAAATGAAAACGAGTTGAAGTAAATGTTTAGTCAAACATTAAGGGTCTTTTTGACATAAAAATGAAATGTTATGGGCTAAAATGCTCTAAAAAATAATGATCAAAATGATTACTTAATCAAATATTAAGGACATTTTTATTATTATTATGCCTTGATTTTATAGATGAATGTCTAAATGCTCATGTTTTTAAGGTTATTAGATTCTAACCTCTTTACGACCTTACATCATTTACATTTGAGGGAAGGTTTCAGTGCCTTGAATTATGCATGGATATCATTGAACATCTAGTAGTTGAATTATCTTCATCCTTGTCGGAACCGTCTTTCGGTTGGCCCCAAATTGAGCTTTGACTTAGTAAAAATATGGATTGGAGTCTCCACCAACCATTTATTTTAAAGAAAATGGGTTGATCAGATACCGTATGTCTTACATGATCTGCGTCTTACTAAAAATATGTCGGATTCGGGAGTCGGTTACAGTCAAGGAAGGGTTAGCACCCTTGAACTGCCCTTTCGGTACTACGTAGTTTCCAGTTGTCTTTAATTAAAAAAATTGAAAGTTTAAATTAAAAGGTAAAATAGAGATCCAAATTACTTACCTTTAACAAGTTTACGAAAATACCCCTATATGATAAAATGTTATATAAAAAGGAGGAACAAAAATACTGCAAGGAAAACAAGTTTATTAACGAAAATAAAAAAATAACCATGCTAAATACAAGATCAAACAATAAAAGAAACACATATAATGAAACAAATAAATCCCCGAAAATGGCTAAGACATAAAATAAAATAATACAAGAAAACAAATTAAAATAAATAAAATAATAAAACAAAACGAAATAATAAAATAAATAAAAATAAAAGAAGGGAAGAATGAAAAGAAAATAGTGTTAATAAATAAGGTAAGTTAGAACAAAATATATATATATATATATATATATATATATATATATATATATTGTTGAACTATGTTTCGATATAACAATTTAAGGCAAAATGGTTTTTGGACTTGAATTGAATTTACAAAATGTATTTGGACTTAATTGAATTTATTCAAAATTTACAAAAATAATTCAAAGTTCTTTTAATTTAAAATTGAGCACAAAAATGTTTTTATGAATAGTAATTTACTATTTGAACAGTATGTAAAAGGGGAACCGATTCCCCCCAAGGGGTACCGATTCCCTCACTGTTCATAAACCCAACGGTCATAATATTTGAATATTATGAAGGGGTATCGATTCCCTATGAAGGGGTACCGATTCCCCCTATTTTGGGCAGCCTATTTTTACAGAAAAATCATTCCCAAACGGCTCCAAAACATCCCCAGCGGCTAGATATGACTTCAAACACATTCCAAGCTATAGATACAAGCTAAGGACACTTGAAGAAGGAAGAGAACAACTATCCAAGCAATCAAACACAAGAGAAGAGTTTTTCATTCTTATTTCATCTTTCTCTTGTAAATATTTTGTTCTTGTGAGCTCAATCTTGTAAACACCTACCTTAGAGAGGTTTTCTTGTTTACATCTTTTATCCTTTTGTAAAGGGGAAAGGTTCTAGCTAATCCCGTGTAAAAGCTAGGGAAAGGTTCTAGTTTATCCCGGAAAAACTAGGGAATTTGTAAGGTTACTCTTTATCCGCAAAAGAAAGAACAAATTAGTGAATTTGTTGGAAAATCCTTGGTGAGGAGCTAAGGTAGTGGACGTAGACTTTGATTGAGAAAGTCGAACCACTATAAATCGCTGTGCAATTCTCTATCTTTCAATCTCTTTACTCCCTAAACACAAAACCGTTCTGACCCCTCTTTGCAAATCGTTTCGGTTGTCGTTTCGAGCTTTCGAAAATCCTAACAATTAGCATCAGAGCCTAACTCGTTAAGAAGGTTTAACCACCTTGAGACGATCCTAGAAGAAGCTCTACCAATTCCCTACACAACCGAGAAGACGGCTTCCACCTCCGGCTCGTTCCACATGGAAGACTCCCTACCAACCGACAAACCTCCATACTTCAATGGAGTCAACTATCATCATTGGAAGAAATTAATGAAGGTATTCATCCAATCCAATGATCTTGATGTATGAGAGATAATCGAGAATGGCTACTCTTCTCCAAAGAAGAAGGAGAAAAAAACGGAAGAAAGCTCAACTTAATGCCAAGGCCATGCACATGTTGTTTTATGCATTTGGTCCTAAAATCTATGAAGGGGTTTCTTCATGTTCAAGTGCCAAGGAGCTTTGGAATAAGCTCGAGGAAATCCATGGAAACAAGAAAGAAGAACCAACAAAAGTGGTGTCTCTAATGGCTTATGAAGAGCCCGAGATATCTTATAACTCAAATGAATTTAATTCATATACATTTGATGAGTTACAAGATGCTTTTAATAGGTTATATTCAGAGTTTGAGACCATGAACTCCAAATATAAGAAAATGATTTCAAAATTTAAAATTGAAAACGATTTTCTTTTGAAAACAAAAATAGATTTTGAAAGCCAAAATGAAATTTTGAAAAAGGATTTAGAGCTTTCAAAAATAAAAATTGATAGTTTTGAAAAACAAAATTTTGATTTAAAAGTTAAGCTTGAATGCTTAACAAAAGAAAAAGAAATCATTTTAAATAATTCATTTAGTTCAATAATGACAATATGCTCACATTGTCATTATAATGGTCATTTAGAACATACTTGTCCTTTGAAGTAAGGAAAACATTTTAAAATTAGGCAAGTATGGGTTCCGAAAGGAACAAGGGGCATTGAAACTAACGTCCAAGGATCCAAAGCAATTTGGATACCAAAATCTACTTAAATGTCTCTTGTAGGTGTGTGTGAGCAATTGTGATGAGAGTGATGATATTCAAGATGCTCTAGCCACACATGAAAAAGGAATGGGTAACCTCTAAGCTTAATGCTTTTAATTTAGGTTATTTGGTTGCTCATTTGATTTTAAGCATGCATGAGTTTTGGTTTTAAATGATTATGCATCATTGTTTTAATCTCATGTATGTTGAAAAGATGATTATGATGAACATTTATTTTTGAGAATTTTTAGTTAATTATAATGAATTTTGGTCAAAATTGGTTTTAATGCAATTGATATCTCTCTAACAATTGATGTCAAATTTTCAAATACTTTGATTTTACAAATTTTAATTTTTTTTTACCTAAATTTGAATGTTTATGCATGTGGTTTAAATGAAAATGATATCTCTCTAACAACTGATATCAAAATTTTCAAATGCATAGCATTTTTGAAAAACTTTATGCATATGCACTTAATTTTAACAATTGATATTGATATCAAATTTCAACAATTGGTATTGCATAAAGTATTTTAGTCTTGGATATATTGAATTTCATGTGCTACTAACATGTTTGTTATTCTTTGTTGAAATTCAATTTTGTTTAAGTGTCTTGTTCTTAAAGCTAAATTTTATTTGGAATGTATTTATTGAGGGGGAACTTTGATTTTTCAAATGATTTTTTAAAATGTAAAATTTACTACTTACTCTCCATAGTTATTTTAAACTTCAAAGATCGAATTATTTTTGATATAACAAAAAGGGGTAGAAGTTTAGTTTGAAAAATTCAATTTTTTAATGAAAAAGGGACTAATATCTTT